CCTTGGAAATAGCCTGGCTCCCTCCCATGGCCTTTCTGGCAGGTGTTGTGGACCAGCCATGTGCTTTATGTACGTATGAGTAAAACCATATGTAACTAGTCACTGGTTCTTTGCTTTGGGATTTATTTTTGATTTTTTTGGGTTTTTTTGTTTAAATTGTAAAGCCATCCCCTGTTTTCAAGGGGGAAGCTGCAGGGGGAAGGCTGGGGAGAGAGGCATCCCAGTTTGTAACAGGCATCTGCCACTTCCCCTCTTCCGTAATGAGTTTAAATGATTAAAAAAAAAAAAAAAAAAAAAGTGAAATATCAGAGTTACCTATCTTTGCCCAAAGAATCCCAGTTGCACAAAGCGATATTCCGGTGTGTCAATGATTGTGTGTCAGTGTATACTATACAAAGAGGTACTTGTCACTCCCGTTTGTAAACTACATTTGACATTAATTAAACAAGTATAAATCTTGTCGGGTGCTTTCTGCTTCTCTGTGTTTCCCTTTGCAGGCAAGAGGCAGCAGAGACCCCCACAAGCTGCAGCCCCTGGATGTGAGTAATGTCCCAGAGGGGAGTCCTGGTCCTGTTTGGGATGCAGGGACAGATGCAGGGGGATGCTGGGACATGCACCAGACCCCACCGCGGATGGGTTCCCCCAACTGGTCCCCACATAGAGCCAGGAGGGCGGGGCAAAGGGCAGCCCTCAGGGGACACCCCCATAATGAAGTCTCATCGGTTGCGTTAGCTGGGGGCAGGAGACGCCCAGCCCCAACAGATCTATACCTCCTGCATTAGGGGCCTCCAGTGCAGTGTAGGGTTACCCTGACACAGGGACTGGGAGGCTGCTGGGGCGGGGGGACAGAGGTCAGGTTCCCCCCGGCACACGGCTGGCGCCCACGCTTTTGGTTTACAAACATTTTGCAGATGGGTCAACGGGCAGTTTTCAAACCTCTCCCCGTGGCTGTGTCCCCCAGGGATGGGTTGCTTGGGGTCTCCAGGCTGGTGGGAGGAGGCAATAAAGATGCTGGGGACGTCTTCCCATCTGCTGTGCCAAGGATAGGGAAAGGGTGGGATTTGGCCACTTTTTTGGCTGGCAAGAAGCAACGAAGGTCTCAGCCACTCTCCCATCCACTTCCAGCCCAAGGGAGGCCTGAGGCCAGGGTGAGGGGCAGAAACCCTCCCTCCCTCTCCACCTACCCCACAGCAGGCTGCTAATATTTTATTTAAAATATCTTTAGGAAGCAGAGGACCATGATGTATCGGATATATTGAGAAAATGCTAATGTGTAATAGCGTGTGTCAGGGGCCTCGTTCATCACCCCGAGCCGCCTTCTGGGGGATCCATATCTAATTAACAGTAATGAATGAGGGAGCCCACCTAATGACAGCCCGCCAGTTTGTTATGGAAATGAGGCAATCCCATTAGGCAAAACACTTAATTAAACAAACTGCTCGGAGTGTAGGCCGGTGCAGGATGGGCACAGGCCCTTTAGGGAACAAGGCGGGCCCTGGTACCCAGCCCTCCACATGCCAGGTTGGGGGCACAGAGGCTGCTGCAGCCTCTTGAGCTGGGTGCCCACGGTCAACTCCAGCAGCAGGGGGCTGGGGAAGCCAAAAGGGATCTGCCTTGGGGGGTCCCAGCTGGGGAGGGGGCAGCAGGGCAGTTCACATCCCCCTCTCGTCTCTCTCCTTCAATGGGCTCATGGGCAGAGGCCAAACACAGATTTCCAATCAAATGTGTGCACTTGGCTCCTGCTCTATTGACACTGAAGCAAGAAGGGCTCAAGGTTAATTCCTTATCAATACCCTATTGTCAGCTCATCCATCACTCCACGGGGGCAGGGGCTGCCCAAGCTCTCGCTGCCCCAGCCCCCATAGGTTTGGGAGGGTGACTGAAGGATGCCGTGCCCACCTCTGGCCATCCCAGCCATGCCCACGTAGCCTGTCTCTGATGGTGCTGGGGTGCACTTGCAGCCATGTGAGGATGCAGAAATGAGAGGATGGGGGGAGGTCAAGTTCAAAGGGAAGGGGATGGAGGGATGCCCATGCCCCAGGCTGGGTGAAGGAGCTGTGTGGGTGTGCTGGACAAGGGGGCATTAGGAGACAAATCAGGTGGTGGCTGTGGGCCCCCATTTGTGTTGTTCTGTTTCCTAATTGCATTCTAAGCCCTCAGCCCTGTGTGCTGGGGGGTCCTGCCAGCCTTTTCAGAAGACTAGCACTAAGCACCTTTCCCAGGGACTACAGGAAAGCCAAGGGAGCTCCAGAGTCCTGATACGTGGAGCTCCCAGAAGTTGGGCCATGGTCTGCTTGATCACACTATTACACAGATTCACTTAAAAGACAGATGGCCTTCCATGGGAGATGGAGAGGGAAGTGCTGTGACCTGGTCTGCTGAGGTGAGAAAGGCAGGAAAGCTATTCCTGCTGTTAGACTTTTGGTTTTAACAATCAGTTAAAGCTGAAGAATGGGATCTAGTAAAAATTTCAGAGGCAGGCAGCCCTAGGGAGAGATGCTGTTATGTATTAACTCACTATCTCTAATTCTTGTCATCGGAGTTAGCTCTTGCTGGTCTTTTTCCTTGCCCCAAGAGAAGACCTTTTGCAGGAGATGCTCTCAGGCACTCAGAAGCGCTGGGCTGAGCCGTGCTGTTGGGGTCTTAGCCAGGATCTGCTGAGCTGTCTCCTAGACTAGAAATCTCTCCATGCGGGAAAGAGGGGTCCTGCTGCCACCTCGTGGAGCTGCTCCCGCCCGGCACGGGGCTCCCGTGGGCTCTGCCCCCTGCCAGCTCCTGCACGGGCTGTGGAGACCAGCCTCCCTCCTTCACTTCTTGGGATGCAGCACGGGCTTGGATTGCTTGGTTCCATCCCGTCCATTCCCACTTTTCCATCAATGGCAGAGCTCCACACATATGCCTGCAGCATCCCAACATGCATGAATATGGGACCTCAGCCCACACACCTTTAAAACACCTTTATGAGGTGTGAGCACAGGTCAGTCTCCACACAGGAGCCTCATTTGAATTACTCGTGCTGCAAAATGTTCCCCCAGCTCCAAAACCTGAACCCTGGCTGGCTGGATCCTGCCCCTGGCCTGCCCAGATCCCCACCACAGCCTCTCCCATTGTCACAGGGAGCTCTGGGTGCACTGACACCCTCCCAGCCCTGTCAGGAGCAGCTGAGTGCCCTCCAGCCCAGCCACACAGGCCACCCTGACCACTAAGTGCCTTTTTTTGTTTTTCAAAACCATCCTGTAACATCACCACTGCCTGGGGAGAGAAAGCACAGGGGAGCAAGCCAGGATTGCTTGCTCAGTTCCCTCACAGGAAACACTCAGATGGATTTTGCTACTGAGGGAAAGTTAATTTTGTTTTACCACAACTGTGGCAGCCAGCTGTGACCATCCTCCTCTCCCAGCACTCTTGGTGTTCCACCCACACTACTGAAGTCTGCACATGAGGGCTGGACTGCAGGAAAACAAGCTCTGGGACACATCCCACTCCCTACCCTCGAGGCAAGCCCAGGGATACTGCATTTTTCCTCCCAATGAACAGATCTGCAGTGCCCCTCCTCCCCATAGCTCATCCCAGAGATTTACCTGGATTTGCCAAGATATCACAACCTTTGGGCTTTCAGTGTTCAGGCTGAAGTTCTTTAGGAACACTGGCTGCGCCAAACCGTGACAGTTTAGCAAGGATTAAGGGTCTGAGGCTGGGTTTTTGTAAATCCAGTAGTGCTTGGATCAGTTCTCAGCCATGTGCCTTTGGGCTCCAAGTTATTAACCTTCTGTTTCAAATAAGCCACAGGAATACGGAAGGCAGGAAGGTGGGGGCACACACAGTACAGGAAAGCAGAGGACAGCATATCTCACAGTGCTCACAATCGGAATTAAAACTTGCTGGGACTCAGAAAAAAAAAACCATTCAGAAGACTAGTGCTGTAAATCACTGGCTTGCCCAAGATCACCCTGCTCTCAGAGAGCAGTGTACACAGATCACCTCCAAATTTCAAGTCACTTTTGCAGCAGTGGAAATGCCTGTGAGCACATTCCTGTTTGCAAAGCTCAGGACACCTCTGACTGCAGAGCTGCCCTGGAAAGTGGGGAAGTAGGCTGAGCTGGAGTGAGCTGGCCATGTGGCAACACCGTGCTGGGGAAGTGGGGAAGGAAGGTGCAGCTGACACGTGAGGCTCTCCCCAGAAGAAGCTTCACCATCCTGACAGGCAGGAGCAGAGGGTTTAGCTCCAGCTCCTGCCAGCCATGTTCTGCAACAGCCTGAGTGCTTAAACAGAAGTTCAACACCCGCAGCAATAAACAGGAACAGCAGATTCCCAGAAACAACTGTATTAATTCAGAGGTGCATATAATGGAGTGTTTAACTGATCTGTAAAATACTGAACCTGTAGAAACCAGCATGAGGGCAAGTGCTGGTTAAATAGCCTCTATCACCTCTGTCCTCCAAGAGTGTTCACAGTGCTACAAACAAGCTGGATGCTGAGAAGCCCCAGCCCAGATCTCTGAAAAGGCAGATGAATACATGACAGCTCAGGAGTTACAGCACTGACATACAAACCAGGGGCCTGCTTTAAAAAGCTGGGAGATGTCTGATCTGGGCTTTCTGGAGATAGAGGACCATGACTGGATTTTACAGGTTCAAAACCTAGAAACAAGAATTTCTCCATAAAAAGGGGAAGGCTGAAGGCTCCTACCACGGGGTAGCCCTCACACCCCACTGTCACAATGGGAGATGGAACTGGTGTCACACACACGAAGACTGGATCCCAAGCAACAACGGCTCCTGTGCCTGGGGACAGTTTTCACTTCTAAAAAAATCAAATATAAACCAGATCATCAGGCCCTTTTCAGTTAATTCTCACTTATCCTATATACAGCCCAACCCTTCCTCTAAAAACATGCTCATCAGGGGGTTATTCTGCTGTAAAAGAAATTGTCCGTTGTCACAATAGTCTGCTACAAACAGCTGCACTACTGCTACTGCTACTACCCTGTGCTTTCACTTCTCTGAGGTGCTACAGTTCTTGTTTTAAACTTCCAAATTATTTTAGTGCTTCTCAAGGACAACCCCCTCTGTGTTTCAATCCAGAACAGCAAGAGTTTTGTAATTGTAGATGACAGCACCCCAAGGGTGGGCAAGACCAGCACAGCCACCCTCTGGCAGAACCTTTTGCAAAACTCCTCCTGCTTTTTAAGTGCCTACCTCTCTAGGGCAGCTCCTTGTTCAAACAGGCCCATGTCACAGCCCTCCAGAGCTTCTTCTGGCAATTTAAAGTTGGTTAAACCTGTTCATCATATTATTAATTAGCTTGCTATGCTGTGACATAGCATGAACACATCAGCAGGCTCTCCTCTGTCTTTATCCCCACTTCTCCCCCAAATAAACAATAAAACCTAAACCCAAACATGGATGTAGTAAAGTAGTAAAGTGCAATGAGCTACTTTTTCACTAGGTGGAAGGAATTAGCTTCTTGTACACATTGCATGGACTGCAAAGACTGATCATCCGAAGAGAACATTATGGACAAAAACATCGTATTTCATGGTCATTTGTAGGCTGGAGGTGATTTAAAAAATACTGAGTATAAAGCATAGTTCCAAGAGACAGTTCCATTTTCTTCTGCAATTCCACCTTTTTGTTTCAGGGGTCTGGCACAGCTGTAATCCAAAAGTTTCCCTGAATATCCAGATGCAAAATACAGGCTGCTCAAAGACATACAATAACAAATAAGTAGTTCTCCAAGAAAGCAAAATTACTCAGTAGAACACACAAAAGACTGGAAGGAAGAGAAACAAAACACTAGACACATTCAAAAATGTTAGCTTAAACCTCTGGGTTGAAGAAGCAAAAGTTATCACAAATATTCAAGCTCCCACTAAGGATCATAGATCTTTGACTGTTTTATCTCAGCTATTTAATGGAACCACATGATAGTCTGGTCATACTGCCCTGCACACACCTTTTTCTGGTCTTACACTTGGTTTCAGGGCCTGATCTCCATCAAGGAGAGTACAAGTGAGATGCACTGAGAAAAGCAAAAAGTCCTGCAGACTTGACTCTTTTTGCTCACTACAAGACAAAACAAATGGCAGAGAGGGGAAAAAAAAAAAAACAAACAACAAAGACATGGAAGAGGTGTATTGTAAAATTAGTACAAGCAACAGAACATGCACATTGGATATTGGGGACAACAAGGAAAGCAGAGAACAAGAGACAGGAAGAAACAAATAATACTCAGTGTGAGATTCTGGTCTGTGACACCTTGGTAAAGTACATCAACATGAACCATGACAGGATTTCAGTTTCAGGACTTTAAATTAATCCATATCTACTTTCTGCTCTAACGTGGCTGGTCCAAAGGCCAGGCTGGAGGCTTTCAGACTTGTACATGGTAGGGGAAAAAACTACTTTCCTGGTTTCAAAGACACAAAAGGAAAGGGGGTGACATATCCCATAGGAGCTGAGCAAGAAGAGGCAAACACTGAAGGTCATTAGAGCACTAAGGAGGTGAGCCCCCGACACAGTCAGACAGGAAAGTCGTGCAGAGGCTGTGGTAATAGGTGGGGTACACCCGCATGTGGCTGACATGAGGCGAATCTGAGAAGTCCACAGCTTTCACAGGAACACCGAGCTGCTGCCGGGCACTGGCCATGAGCTGAACCTCGCTGGCCTTGATGATGAGATCAGCCTGGGAATAAAGGTAGAGCTCGGGCCAGCGCGAGGGCGCTTTCAGCAGGGCATCGTAATGGCTCTCGTGGATGAAGCGGGTCAGGGGGTACAGCAGGATCCGCAGCACAACGGCCATGCTGGCAAAAGTGAACAGCAGCAAATACTTGAGCAGCATGTTCATGGAGACCAAGACAGTTGCCATGGCACGAAGGCCTCCTCGCAAGTTTCTTCTGCCAGGGGCGCTATCGAAAATGGTGCCAGCTACTCTGAGGTTCTGAAACGGCTTGTGGGTGTGGAGCGCTTCAATGATGTAACGGTACAGCATGGCACCACCATTGCTGAAAACATGGAAAAGAACTGGTCTGTTTTCAACACTGTAGTCAAACAGCAGCTCCAGGAGTCGCCTGGCTGGGGTCTGCAGGGATCTGATGCCAAAGGTCTCAGAGAAGAATATCATCCTCCATGGAGCTGTGTAACGGATGACCGTGCACCCCTAAGAACAACAGAAAGAGACCCCACACACATTTAAGCTGTGCTGCAAATTACAGAGAGTAAGCAAGCAGCAGTACAAGGAACATGAAAATTTGGGACAGGTTCCCAACAGAAAAAGGCCAGAGGCCTGGCTTTGGTCATGTCTGAAATCCTTTCAAATCTTGTGCTAACTGGCACAACCCTTGGGGACACTGCCACCCATTTTTATGGGTGTTAATCCTCACCCAGGAGAAGAAAACCATCTCCCTGATTCACAGACCTTCAGTATCAGGCATTTTGGTAAGAGGAGCCTGCTCTGGTACACATCCAGCTCATCACACTGAAACAAATATAAGAAGAAAGAGGAACTTCTTCCTCTCCTTGGGAGCACTTGTTTGCAGCTGTCTCTAAGACTCACCACCAACCAACACTGACAGGATTTTTGTAGACCTTCCTGAAACACTCCAGCTGGGCAAAGAAAGAGCTTTGGCTCAAGGACTCAGAACTCCTGAGCAATTGCCTTCACACTTAAGTCCTTACATTTAGGTATAGATTTGGAAAAAGGATCTTGAAGGAGTTTCAAAATAGACCAGATGGATCTACATTTATAAATGCTTCAGACGTTTACTATCACCTGAGCTCATTGACAAGCACAAAGCAAAGTCACCAAAACCCCCCCAGAGCTCCCTAAACAGTGAATGAGGAAGAAGAGGATAGCAAGTTCTCAAATCACAGCCTTCTCTACCATCTTGCCATGGTTACAGCCATTTCTTCTTAGTGAGTTAAGAAAACACATCCTCTCCTTTCCCATTTCTGACAGAAAAGTATTTTCCAAGAAGTTGTCATGCTGCCCTGTAACATGCTTCTCATCTGCTCAGCAGCATCTTAAAGCTGCTTAACAACTAATTCTTCACTAGATCAAGCCAATTAATGACTCCTGCACTGGATTACACATTAACAATAGACTTGTTAATGTACAAACTTTACCACCTACAGTTGGAACAGATTTGGATAAATACAAGATTCCTTGTATGCTCACCAAGAAAAAAAACCAAAAAAACCTAATGTTTCACTGGGTCCCCATGCTACAAGCTGAGGTCATTCCAAAAAAATACAATATTAGAAAGGAAAATATCACAACTTAGGGAACGAGCAGTAGGACAGTTCTCTGTAGTTCAAACACAAGGAATTCCTAGTGACCAGCTATGACTATCACAGGATGCCTGTTTCAAAGACAGGATAAAATTAATTTGGCTTACAACATTTAGATGAATCATTTTCACAGGAAGGAAGAGCCAAAGGCACGACAGATGCCGATGTGTTCTGTCAGTTCCCACCCCAGCCTCGCCATGTCCGTGCTGTGGCCTAACAGCAAGCAGTAAACACAGAATCTTTCCCTGAATGTTTACCTGTTTGGAAAACTAACACAGTTCACGTCATTCCTGAATTATCCCACAATTTTAAAGCCTTAAGATACTTCAGTGAGTCACACAGCAGCTGAAAGTTTCTCCAAGGAAGTATCTGTGTCTTAGCTGCACACACCAAGGTGACATCAGCAGCTGTTAGATAACACTGCCTGGGCTGTGAGAGACAAGGAGCTTTCAATGACAGAACTCTCACTCACTCTCCATGAGTGACACTGAGAGAGGCTTCAGACAGACTTTAACAACATGCAAAATTAAGGCAGTTTCACAGTATGACAGTGTCATGAAAATACAGACCGGCTACTCACCTTCTGGCTGTAGATTGTGCTGTATTTGGCCAGGTATTTGTCCTGGCAGCCGGCCCAGCCTAGGAGGATCACCACAGGCTGGCCCTCGGCAGGCCCTCTCTCTGTAGTGCCTTCTGAAACAGATCACAAGTGTTACAGCTACAGCCCTCCAGCCTGCGCGAGTCACAACTTACAGCGGCTTGTCTGCTTAGAAAAGCTTAAAGGCAATGGTGAAGCAAGCGTGAATTTGACTTCTCGGCCAGTTGCGAGTGTTGCCTCAGGCCGGTTTGACTGCGTGGGCGTGCTGCGAGCAGCACAGCTTCAGCCCCAGCAGCTCCCACCGCCCTCCAGTGACGCAAAGCCAGCACCGAACTGATCCCCCCGGGGGGCGAGACCACTCTTCCCGCCTCCCCGCGAGATAGCGGCAGCTGCTGCCATTCCAGGGGGAAAAGGGAAGCGTCCTGCCCTGTCCTCCAGGGACTGCCAGACACCTGCTACAGCACCAATGCCCCACGGCTCCTCCTCCATAGCCCAGCCCGCTCCCCCTTCTCGGCCCGCAGAGGCGCCCCAGTCCCTCCTATCACTGGTGTCCCCGGTCCCGCTCGCCTCCGCACCGCGGGCCTGTCCCGGCTCCGGCTCTGGCTCCACCACGGCCGCCTCCAGCCCGCGCGTGCCCATGGCCGCGCTCCGCGCACCGGCCGCCGCTTCCGCCCCCCGGAAGCTCCGCCCACCTCCCTCCTCGCAGCCAATGGGAATGGAAAGTTCCCACCCCGCCTCACCGTCCGCCCCGCCCCCTACCCTCCTCCCACTTCCTTAGCAACGCGCCCTTAGCACCGGCCCAGCGCCCCGCCCACTAACCACCCATTGGGCAGGGGGAGAAAGTCGGGAAGCGATTGGTTCAGCCGCCTGTCAGTCATTGTGCGGGGTAACCGGCCCCTCGGGGCCCGGGGGCTGAGGCGGGCGGGGGTCGCAGGGCCGGGATGAGGGGAATTGTAGGGCCTGGAGTGGGGATTGCAGTCGGGGGGGGCAGGGGATACGGCGGGCATGAGGGGTGAGACGGGTTGTTGGCCCTGATCCGGGTGTTTGGGTCAGGAAGGGCTGGGCATGCGGGTCAGGGAGTGGGTCAGGGACTGTAGGACCTGGAGCGGGGTTTGGGGTGTGAGGGAGCACAGGGCCTGTGGCTGGGCTGGATCAGGCCTGTGGGATGGTGGTCTGGGGCAGGGAACGCTGAGGTTGCGGTGGATCAGACGGGGCGGGGGCTGGGATGGAGGCGGGGGCAGCGCAGGGCCTGGCTGAGGGTGAGGCAGTGCAGGGGTGGGTTTGGGGCTGTGGCTGGCTCAGCAGTGGGGCTGGGGGGCAAGACATGTGGGTGAGAGAGGGGCCGGTGAGACTGTGGGTTGAGGGGCTGGGGATGTTGGGGTACACTGAGGAAGGTGCTCAGTGCGTGGGAGGAATTGAGGTGTGCCAGGAAAGGATGAAACCTGCCCGAGAAACAAGCCCTATGTTCTGCCTAAGGCTGAGCACAACCTTGATGTTGCAAGATGCAAAGGTAACACCAAATCACTGCCACGCTGTCCTCCCATGAGTCCAAGGCTATCATTCCTTGACACCTCACACTCGGTCTGAGGCTGAAGCACCACCAGTCTGCCTTTTGATCTCAGTCTGATGATTTAGCAGGACTGTGGATATAAAGAACTGCTGAATTGCCAGAGCCAGTTCCTAAATCACTGTTTTTTTTCTTGGCAGGAATAAAGTCTCGCCCTGACCTAGCCTTGTTTTGATTATGAGATCCAGTGGACTGGGTGGCAGCCCAGCACTGTTGACAGCAGAGTCTGAAGCCAATGGCCAGGAGTTACATGCTAATGCTAGCTAGCACTGACAAACGATTCAGGCAAGTCATTTAACCTCCCTGTGTCTGTATGTTCCCCATATGTAAAATGCTCATAATAAAAACATTAATGTACATTTTCAGGGTACTTTGCAATGTTGGCTTAAAGACTCCTATGTCAGCAACTGCTGTTATTACAGCAGCCAGAGACAGACACTACTGTATTCTCTGAAGCCATGTAATTATTGTTTCAAACTTTTTTTTTCTTTTTTTTTTTTTTTTTTTTTTTTTTTGCCATTGATTCATAGGCAAGCCCTTTGTATCACTAAAATCCTCACATCCAGAGGATGGTGCTGGTATTTCTGAGTAGAGGGGGGGTGGGGGGCAGTTACTGCAGCTTTATAATAAAAATGGGAGAGCATTACACCAGCAGCATCTTAAACATAAATATGGAAATGTTAATTTAGAATCAATTTTGGGATGTTTCAGACAGTAAAGTTCTTTTAACTAGATCTCTGTTGAGGACAGAGAAGCACTTTATGGGACTGTAAATTTCATGCAAACAGTCTCTGTGAAATACAGATTCCCCCTACACACGAGCTGTTCTCTCAATATCAATCATATGCCTTGTAAGTAGTGTTTCACAAATATTCTGTAAATCACAGGAAAATGCTTGCAATAATGTGAAATATGACTTTCACTTGACTGTTTCAGCAGAGGCCCCTAACAGGCCATTCTCCTGTCAGCACTAACATTTGTTATGGCTAATAACATTTTCAATCACAAGTATTTTGGGAAAATGGATTTATTTTAAACCTGCTTCCCTGCAAAGGAGGTCCTGAAAACGCCCTGCCAAGGACACAGATGCCTTACAGAACACAGACCGTTAATTCCCGAATGAAATTTCATCTCATCTTAATTCTCGAGTACTGTTTCTTAGCTAGCTTTTTGAAGACTTTGTTTGTTTTTAGGCACTGAGATACATGCTCATGTCTTAGTCATGGTTTTCAGTCTGGTTCAGATAATAGGAGTAGAAAGTTACTTTTGAGCAGGTATCTTGGGGGTATTTTGGAACTGATTTGAAATTTTGCTCCAGATACTAGGAGAAAGGGCTTAACAACTTTGTAGATAGGAAATTGGTAATCTTGATGATTCGTATTACATCAAAAGAAACTTCTTATTCTGAAACACAAAGATTTTAAGTCATTTTAACTCTTTTTCTATAATATATAATACAATAAACCACACTTTAATAAAACCTAAAACAGTGCTTTTGTTAGGTAGGAAGTCCAAGAAGTGCATTAGACAAAGTGTGAATTCCTTTCTTTTCCTTAGGCATGTTGATACAGCTTGGTGGAGGACAAGGCACCTGTGTTAATGCCACTGTTTGTGACCTTATCCCTCTTTTTGCATCTGTGTGTGGGCACAGATCCTGGTGTTTGACTGTGAGACTCCTTGAGATTGGTCAGTGTCCTCTGGCCTAAGGCGTGCGCAGCTCTGGGATTGCCACACAAATGGAGACCTTAGTCCTTGACATTCCATCTCCCTTACTAAGTGCACCTTCACATTTGTCAAGCTGCACTAGGGAATATCATACTAAGCCAAAAGTGTGACAAAGACACTTGGAAAAAAAATGCAGATTTCTTTATTTAACACCTATGTGAAGAAATAGAAGGAATTGCAGAAAAGGGATGTTTCTGGGGCTTCTGTCTTCTTGCTTATAACTCCTATCATTTTAGCTTATCTTAGACTGTTTAAAAACATGCCAGGAAAATTAGGTAGAGAAAAGATAGTGCAAATATCTGTCATGCTAAAGGGTGCTAAAGCACTTTCCCACTGCCAAGGCCAGACACATGTTCCTGGGGTAGATGTGGGCCCAGTCCAAATCGCTGTCATTCCAGCATGTGAGTGAGGGCTGTGCTGCTGTGCTAACAGGCATTTATAGCCCCCTTGACCCTGTCACTCCCCATAAATCCATACCTATTTCTGCTCTCATTTCACTCTATTTATTCCCTGGCAGGTCAGATATGAGAGGCAGTGTTCATATCATGAGGCTAGTGAGAAACAGGGCTGGGGTAATGGGTAACATCAAAATGACTTTATTAGCAGAGCAGAGAAGAGAGCTCCTGTGGTTAAACCACCTGCCCAGGAAAATAATCTCAAGTCTGTCACAGATGCATTGTGCAGCTTTAGACACATCAGGAACTCTCCTTTTGCCAGTTTTCATATATATTAAATGAGTATAAGAGAAAAGGAGATTAAATGGTTACTAAGTGCTTTAATATTATTTCCCAGAGATTTTAAATGTGATTCTAGTGGTAATTCATTAGTACAGTCTTTCTTCATAGACCTTTTTAAACTCTCTCATTTTTCTCTAGGCAGAAGACATCATTACATCTGTCAAAGAGCAGGAAACCATTAGCTGGAAACCAAGAAAACCATGGTTTTCTTGCAGGAACAGGATAGTGTCCACAAAGTTGCTAAAAGTTGCATCCTGAACAGCTTCATTAAAAGCAAGGCAGAACCAGAGCTGGAGCTGGAGTTCCCAGGGAGCCAGCTTGTTTCTGGCTCACCTAACAGTGTAGCTCAGGATGAAGCATCTGTTTCCTTAGACAGGTGGAGGTGATGTGTAGTAGTGAGATGGAGAGGATGGGCAAGTTCTCTATTTTAAATTTGTTTAAAGAATAAGCTTTTGTACAGAGACACCCACATCCAGGCACATTCTGCAGGTTTTGAAAAAAACCTGGCTACTGAAAGATGGAACTGAAGGGAAAGCCATGTAACCTCTCTCTCAGGAATCTAGAATTAGTGGTTTTTCTTACATTTGGATGAGTGTGCTGCCTCTGCCTGCCTGTAAGAGAATGGTCCATGCTCTTCTGCAGAGACAGGATCCAGTTCAGACCTCTACCCACTGCAGTGAGATGGGAGGTGATGGCTCCCAGGACATGGCATGCTGGCAGAGGAAGATGGGCTCCAAGGCAAATCCTTGTTGCCCTTATTCTTGCAGCCTTGCAGCCACAGATACCTTACTGAATTTCTGGAGATCAGAGGTGTCTTGATTCCTCTGCAAATACTGGAGCTGAACCACCTGAAAGAAGAGGACAAAAGAGAGTCTTTAACGCTGCTGTTGCTCACTGGGGACACTGGTGGGGAGTATGAGGAGCTCATTTGTGAAAGCTGTGGTACACAGCACGTCCATTTGCACTTTGTTGTGATTCAGGCGAGGGTGTTCTCCCCGACCTCTAGCCCCTGGGGCTGCTTGCTGCACTGAGCCATTCCCTTCCCTCTGCCTGCTCATGGCAGATCCAGCAGTGCTGCCCTGGCTGGAAGGAGTTCAGAGTCTCATTTTTTAACAAGCTCACTTTCTTCACAGTCATTTTGGCGTGATATTGGTGCCTTGCTGTTTGCAATTCCTCCTGTTAAAACCACAAAACAGTTTCCATCCTCACCTGCAGCATTCACCCACTGCAAACTTCCCCAGAGTTTCTCTCTGGGGTGGGAGAGCTTTGTAGCTTGTATCTTTTAAAAGCATTACAACGTTTTTTTCCTGGTTTTCCTCCTGGGTAGTGGAAGCCAAACCATGTTAGTTCTGTAGTTCAGAGGACGTTCTTAGAGGCCAAGGGGTGATACATGCTGCCACAGCTTCCTCAGCAGGCTCAGTAGTAGGATCTGTAGCAACTCTGTTGGTATGCCAGTGCCACACTCTCTTTCTGTAAATGCCTGCAGAAGGACCTCCCTTGGCCACTTACTCCAGCTCAGAATTTAGCTAACTGGTTTTCTAGTTGTGGCTCCTGACAAGGACAGAGAAACTTTGTCCTGGCTGTTAGAGCCACACTTCAAGTGGGATGTGGCACTGGAT